TATGGCTCTAATAAAGAATAAAATAAAATAAAAACTTGCTATTTTAAAACCAATTAAAAATTCGGAAAAAAAATTGGTATATAGCAAAGCAACTCATTTTTTTTCCAAGATAAGTGACAAGTGAAATAAATTTCTAAACTAGATCTCAAACCAAACAATTTCTCGACGGACCCTCGCCTTGTCCGGACGTGCCAATTTCCAACGTCGCGGACGACGGCAGGTCATACCAAGCCAACTCTCCTATTCAATTATCGATTTGGGCTGACAGCCTCACTGCACTAGACATGTAATGTCGCTGTGGACGAAGCTTATTGATAAAAAAATTATTCGATTACCAGTATATGAAGCTACATTATATTAGTTTTCGCACGAGATACAGGATTTTGTAGCTTTCGCCAGCAGGAGGGCAAATAGGAGATTGTGTAGCTTAGCTATGTTTGTAACACGCTTTTATTAGCTTGACCTATGTATATTCAAGACGACTGTTTAACTTAAAAAATTTACACGTACCAAGTACCGATGATAATACAATAATTTTACTACTTCGACCCAATTTCATGGCCAGAATTGACAAGCTAATAAATAATATAATATTTAGTTCGATTTGCTTTTAAGGCATGCTTTTTAGTTTTTAAATTATATTTTAAATTCAGAACAAAAAAAAATTATATAATATCTTTTATTGGTACTTACACATACACTACTCGTTAGATTAATAAGAATTATTTCAATGTTATAAATAGAAGTGAGTGACCAACTTGAGTTCATCGTACCGTTTCTTCAATGAAATAGTACGTAATATGCAGAAAAACTTGAAAAAGTAAAAAGTACGAAGTAGAATTGTTTTTTGCTGCATCCATTCGCTGTTACAAGTCATATCGAAATTTGGATGAATTATGAAATCGTAGCTCTTCTAGTACTGTACTACAACCCTACTCGTGATAGTCGGAATCCACTAAGGGACAAAGGATAGAAAATAAGTTACTACAAAAACATAAATTTAAATAGTTTAGAAAATTTAATGTATATTATGTAATATTCCAATTTGAAAAATTATGACTAGTCTAGGTTAAAATAACTAAAAGACCACACTAACAATCTAGATTATATTATGATGAAAACTGGTCACGATACAAAATAATCAATCACAAAGTTACGGTATCGTTTTTTAAACTTGATAATTCTGTAAATAAGTTGAAATGTAAGTACTTGTAGAAAATAAAAAATCCATATATCCATCCATTTATGCACATACAGCTATGCAAACAAAAAATATTTTATAAATGTAGCCTCAAAATCGATGCAATGCAATTGTGTTTATAATAGCAGTGAATAGGGGCAGAAACACTTCAAAGCGTTTGTCGATTACTCGTTCAAAGGAGGTTAACTGTCAGAGGAGTACGGAATTAATTTGCCAATGGGGAAATTCGTGTATAAAAGAAGCTTTGACGAAACCTACAGTTCTGTATTTGAATCTTTGTATCTCTTTATCTGTTAAAGATTCGATTCAGTGACTATACTCGCTACAGGCCGACACAGTTCTTGCAAGAGATAGACAAATTAGACAAGCAATAAATGTTTCGTGTTACCTTGACAGTTACGATAGTGGTTTAGAGAATATTAAATCTTTGTATCATATTTCGTGTGTTATAAATAAATAATACATGAAATAAGGTCGTAGATTCTGGGAAGCACGGCTCTTGCTAGGGTTCGTGTTAGCATCGTCGTCAGGTTTGAGCCCCGTGAGCTCACCTACTAGCTCGGCGAATGTAGAATAACCCTTCGAGGTTACTAGAATAGGTAGGAAAAAAAATACATGAACTAGACAAAAATAAATGGCAAATACTTCGTTTTTTTAGAACTCTCCGCATTATATTATATTTTAATTTAAGATTCTCTCATGATACCATGTATATTGTACTATGTTTACTTTACCGCACCAAACAAACTATACAATTGTAATTTTCGAGTATTATGATTGAAGTTTGACGTTGTACCGGAATGCATCCCAGTGCCCGAGGCTGGCCACCCACCTAGACTGTAACGACTAAACGCAATTAAACCATCGCATATTGTAAGATGTGTCTAACCGAGAAAGTTCGAAGGATCTGCCAAGTTTATGGCAATTTGTTTAGAGCATCTCTGTCAGCATAGTCGGATGCAATCCGCCATAACTTATTTATGCTTATATAGTATACATATATCTAATTTATATGCATACTCTAATTGAATGTTTTGTAAAAATCATGAATTTATATGACACTGTCTGTTAACCATGTTTTGACTTTTCACAATGTATGCGTGTTAGTCCTAATGTACCGTGTGTGTAGACATCAACAAATGCTACCTATTGGATGACTTGATTCTAAAGTTCGGTTCTATATTACAACGGTTGCCCAACCCTTCAAATTGGAACGCATTCGCGGCAAAAATAGGCGGGGTACCTAAACGTGCAGGCACATAAGGCGCTATAACATCACTAAATCGTATGATTTTCTGAATTTGTTCCGACCTTTTGCTTCTAGAACCGAAAAGTATTCCGTTTATTATCAAAACAAAATTAACTTGATCCTGTTAAATTCCATTTTAGTTTCGGGGATATAAAATAAACCCTTTCGTTTTGACACGTATAGTTGATGGGGACGTTTAAGGCCGTGCGACAGGTCTACAATTATTAACGCATTCTGCACGGTAATCGTAGGTTTTGACTCCGTGAGATAGATAAATTTATTTTTCACGGGAGCTCCACGCGCATGTAACTTTAATAGGGTTTTATTTAACCGAAATAATATACAATCTGAGCTATAATATTTATGAGTGATATGAGTGATAGCTACTACTACTTTTCTATTAGCGGTTCCTAATTCTAATTCATATCAGGAGTATTAGTGATGGGATTCTTTGCGAACCCGCATCGTCAGTACCACTTTACTATAAAGTATAGCAAATTCTTTATTCCATTGCGTTGCGTTATTAAGATTGCGTTGGAAATTCGAGTCAGTGATTGTGGACTTCGCTAACTGCTCAATATGAGTTGGAACATGAGGTTTGTATACGGTTATGAAAATCATAGCAGAACCTAGATGATCGATATGGCCTTGAAACAGTCTATTAAGAGTCAGCAGTAATTAAATGCTTCCTTTTAGGTTCGAAACTTCCAATAACTTAGTTCTTAGTTATAACAAGAGCAGCAGAAGAAAAATCTGCAGCAGTGGATAACTACTGTTTATGAAAACGCGAATCACGCTGGTACATAAACCATTAAACCTCGAAATACTTGATTTATTAACTTTATTGAATTCTGGCTAAATCCAAGAAATGCTAATGAGATCTTAAGAATATAGTTGGTAACTTTCATAACATGAATATTCATATTAGCGTTAACATGATATTCTGTTGTAGACCCGAATTTATCGACGGCATAACGTACCTAGTATAAACCATTGGTCGATCGTGATGTTTGATGATGTGAACAATTAGCTTAGGAGGCTGCTTGCTCGTGACTAGGCGGCTCTGACGCGGGACCTGTCGCGTTATGCACCACTGCTCAATTCGACATGACAGGTGCGTGTGCCGCAACTAAATCTCTAGGCGTGTATTCTATCCATTTGATTCAGTTTTTGTGTTGTTAACCTTTTTTTTTAACAATAGTGAACCAGTCTCAATATTATTCTCGTATACTGACGTATTTATATGAGATTCACAGGATAGGAGAAATAGCATTGCAGGATCGATATAAAGAAAGGTATAAAAAGTTTATGTCCGACGCGTGCCAATCTGTCTGTCTGTATACGAAGTGTGTCGTAAGGCACTGCGCATACACTTTATTTCTACCAGACATAGTTCGTTTTTTTCTGAATCCTGCAAACTACCAAGTGCTTGACTCTTTTATCTTTCTTACCTAGCCCCACTAACAGGGACGTACAATATGCGCCTGAGCTAAAGGTTACTTTCTATTTACATTAATATACCCGTCCGCTTCGCTGGGCATTTGAAATTAACATTATTATTTCTCACCACTACAAACATTCTCATCATTAATACCCCCGCAACTGGTGTAGGTAGTCCAACACTAATATAAATTAGCCTATCCATTAGGTACATGTATTTTCAACATGCTTACCAAGTTTCAAGTCAATCGGATGCATGGTTCAGTCGTTCTAACGGAACATCCGTAAAAACCACTGAAGATTATATATTAGTATAGAATTAGTATAGATTAAATATAAAATTATTATATTTAGTACTATTTAAATAAGATAATTTTAACTTAACAATTAATTTAAGTAATTAATATATTAAATTCTCGGTTTTAAAACATCGCATTAACCATCACGGCACATTATCAGTATTCTCAAGAGTAAAACATGAAGTTACAATTTGTAATCAAATGTACGATCGATCTGATGGTTAATGGTTACAGTAGTTCATTGGACGTCGGCAATGTTAGGAAAGCCAATGCCTACTGAAAGAACTTTACTCAAACTACTTTTGAAGAATGTACGAGTGCGATAATGATGTTCCCATCAGCATTTTCAAATAATCGGTATTTTGTATACATCATATGAGCCGTTCATTTTTGTTCGCTCTTTCAAACAAAATACAAATTAAATAACACCCAACAAACAATTGAAACTTGAACAACGCGCCCTAAGCTCTATCCCTATAATTACCCTAATTTAGACTTAATAGAATCGTCAGACCTTATAATGACATGAAACCATACACAATGTGAGAGAGAAAAAGTAACGATGTTTTGTTATTTCGTAGTCCATTTTAGTAATTGTTGTATCTAAATCTGTAAAAGATCAGTATTTGACAAAAATGAATGTTTAGTTTGATACTATTGATTGTAAATTAACTTAAAAATGTTTTACAAAGACAAAACCTTGTTTATAATACTTGATAACCTAGGGTACGATACGTACTTTATTAATCGGATAATGCTTCTGAAGTGTTGAAATTATCATACGTGTAAATAAATATTGATCTAAACTTACCTCCGTTCCCAGCGTTCGATATCGTCACCCAGAAGTCGATGGTCTTCTCAGGCCCCAAGTCTTCGAAGTCCCACTTCTTTTTGACTTTCACTACACCACTGGGTTCAACGGCAACCCACGGATTGTCGTCGCGAATTTTAAAGGTTTCACGGTCAGTTTCTTTTTCGAGTGTAAATACGGCACGCCCTTCAACTTCTCCATCAGATTCCGTGAATTCAATACGTTTCGTAGGTCGCACTGCACGAGTGACTCGTCTCTTCTCACGGTGAAGTGCTGGTAAATCTTTTCTATCTCGAATCACGAACTCAATAAAAACGCGTGCCGGTTTGCTTGCACGCGGCGGCGCTCCCGTGTCGTGAGCAAGAACTTTTAATTCAACCTCGTTACTGTCAGGTTCACCTGCTAATATTAATTCTCCGGTCTGTGGTACTATAACGGCCAAATTATTTGGGTTCATTAGGGTATAATACACTCGATCTTTATCAGCGTCGTAAGCATGCACTTTGCCAATCTTTGAGAACCTCTGCCATCGAGCCGTACCGTTAGGTGCATTTTCATCTTGAGTCCCGCTCACAACAAAATAATAAAATTCTTGTTCAAAACGCGGTTCGTGATCATTTTCATTCAAAACTTCGATTTTCACAGGTAAAATGGCTTTGCTTGTGCCATGAATATCAGTTGCTTGTATATTCAAATTGTATATACTCTTTTGTTCAGTATCTAAAGGTTTAATCGAAACTATCTCGACATCTCCATCGGTGATTACTGATCTTACGTCTGTATTCAAATCTCTATCACCTTTAGCCCGTAATGTGAATACGGCATCTTCATCGCCTTTTATAATTTTGTATGCTATGGGCCCGACATCTACTAGGGCCGTGGCTTTTATAAGAGGCACGTCTACTATAGTTCCCGGTGGCGCATTTTCTGGTATTTCTCCACTCACGCCTTCACTCGGTGTGAAATGTAGCATCCTTCTGCGATCCATCACAAATATATGAACAGAATGCGCTGCACTGCTGTAAGGCGTCTGTTCTAATATCGCAAGATCTATAGGTTGATTTAGTAACGGAGACAAATCAGCTGTGGTCATTAAAAGTCCGTTGTCGAGTAAAGTGAAATAAGATGTGAATTCAGGGTCAAGTAGCGTATATCGGGAATGGTTGCCGACAAAATGCCGAACAGCATGTCCAGGGTGTACATCGTGTGGCAACAGGGTGAGGGCACCCGCCTGCATCACTATGCTTAAGGCGTACAGCAGTGCTCCTCCCGCCAGCACGGTGTGCGTCATTGTTCTTACTTGCTTCTTACGATCTCAGTCCAACATTTCACACCTAGAAAAGTAACGACAAAATCAATGCTCCATTGTCATATTTGAAAATGATTAAATAAATAAATAATTAAATATGCCCCCCTTGTCACTTGTCATATTAGGTACATCATAACTAAGTATAACTATATTGCTTGTATAGAAAACTCTTAAACATACTATAATGTACCGAATCGTGGACCTACTTATCTAATTCTAGGCAAGTTTTTATTAATTAGCTCTAGTAGTCTAAAATTTACAGTGTGTAAAAAGTGCATGCAGGGAAATTGCAGTGGATTGCTGAATGGTGTTATTGTAGTAAGCGCATAGTATTCGTAGTCGGTAAAAGTCGGCGGCCGCGGTGACGGCGACGGCGGGCGGCTAACACGTAGGGCGGCGAGGCGGGGCGCACACATGCGGAGCTTTATTTAGGCGGCAGGCGGCAAACGCCGGCGTCTAGCGGCCCGCCGTCGCCGATCAATACCCTCATTGCGCCGCCGCGCGACGTTCTACCGACGAATTTGAACTCTACAAACGCTCCCGTTCACGATACACCATCAAATATTCACACATTCATTTCGCTGAATACAGATGCACTGTCTTTACGCTACTCTACGTCGCTTAGACTTCAACACTATATATTATCACTCATAGGTGGAAAATTAGTGAATCGCTCAAACTTAAACAACAAAATCCGGAAGTATTAAATATTTCACACAATCACCTGCTAATATTAGTGAATAAAAATTGTTCGTTTGGATTATTTTAAATACTCTAAGTTTGTGTTGAGGAGAGAGGCGGTAAACATGTGGTCGAATGTAAACATTTGAAATAAAAGTAACTAAAACATTTTTTATTCACTAAAAATACGCTGTAACACACACTGTTAACTAATTGCAATTAAAATGGCAACTAGAATACGTACATTGATGAAATACAAATCGAAATCCGAACGATCGGTAGTTGTGTACCGGCGAGCGAGACACAACCACACAACGATAGCGTCAAAATGCGACTGGCCGACGAGAGCGTGGCGCGCGCGCGTATCGAGCGCGGTCCTCCCGACCCGCGACACCCCCGCGAAACAACCCCTGTCAACCCTCCAGCCACTGAAGCTCTTTGCTTCTTTAACTTTTACCCCACCGTGTATCGCAACCGTTGGGCTGTTAGCACGCGTCTGATATTTTTGTTCGCGATATCAATTAATTTACTGTTATTGGAAGATTTCATCTCCCGAAAACAATTTTTGTTGAAGCACAACATTTTTGTTATTTTTTATGCATATATATATTATTAATTGCATAGCTTGTGACGAATATTGTCAATTTATACAATATACACAAATTTTTATAACAATATTTTTTATTAAATTTTTCATCTTTTGGGAGCTCTTCTTTACATTATTACTTTAAAAAAGATATCTATTCCTACTAAGTACTTTAAGTCTAATAGATAAATAATACATAAAATCAAAATTTTACTGCCGTTGAAAACATAAGCGCAGGTGGACCACCTGATGGTAAGTGATTTTGGACATTGATAGAACGGCAGGACGTTGTCTGCCAGAAACTTTATTATTAATGTAACATTATTTTGAGCTTTTCGTTTTCGATACTTTATACCCATCAACATTCATTAACTATTTTCTTTTCATACTTCATGATATCACGTGTTACACTAATGGCAGTAGTTCAATGGAATGACAGTAAAGCACTAACGCTGCTTAGTTCATTTGTTGCTAGCGAGCATGTCGAAAAAATAATAATGAGATACTCTAAAGGGGAAAAGAATAAAATAGAAGTGGCCTGCCCACAAATTGTACTTCAATACAATAAGCACATGGGAGGTGTCGATCTGGCTGATATGTTGATATCACTTTATAAGACCCCGAGGAAAACCCGACGGCTGTATAATATGGTTATTTTCGCACGATTAGTGGATATCTGTATAAATAAAATTTGGCTTCTGCATCGACAAACCTACAAAGGTAGTCCAAAAGGAAAAATGCCTTTGAAAATGTTACGTTCTCAAATATACGAAAGCCTTATAAAAGTGAATAGATGTGCCAAGCGCCAAAAAACAGAAACATCAAAGGTAAATAAATCACGTGCAGCCCGGCCTGTTAGTCAAATACGACAATGTCGGTCATTTTCCCTTAACTATAGATGAGGGTCGTTGCAGTTATTCAGCAGTATGCAGACGTTAATATTCCTCAAACTTTTTGTTAAACTAGCTTAGGCCCTTTAAACATCCTCTGAAATAATTTATTCCTATTTTTGTTGGTTCTAGATACCGTCGTTCATTTTAGTAGTCGTCGTCGCCTTATTGTTGTGATTCTCAGTATAATCACACTATTACAATGCATTAAGCCCCGTTGCTACCATTTAGAAAACACTACAACGAAAAAAAACCTCTCATATCTAACAGATAAATTTGTGAGAATTTCCAGGGAGTAAGGATGGTTTGGAGTGGTTCGATGTTAAAGGGAAATATACAGAGAATACCATAGCCACTACATTGCTCCAATCCGCTAGAGAGATCAGCGTACCCTGATGATTCGAGCTGCTCGTCTTTATAAGGAGTCAAATGAAAAATTCTGGTAATCGGGAGCATCAACCCAGAAATGACAGCAGTATTCCACGTATAGTCTGATTTGCGCATTTTACAGCAAAGAGCTTTTAATCAGGCTTGCAATGCCTTCTCGCTCCGTCGAGGACTCCCAACATAAGTGAAATCGCCCTTGTTCCGCTCTGGTTTTGTGCAAGATCTAAAGATAGATAGATATGCACAGAATTTCACCGTGATATAAACTAAAAAGTAAATGAAGAAAAATAAATTGATCTAAAAAAAAAACATTTAAGCTTATAATTACTTATTAAAGATTTTTCCAATTATGGATTTAATTGACTTTACCTTCTCATTTCAATCATTAGAATCGATGTGTTTCTCCCAAAAAAATATCGTGTTATAAATTGTATATATTTTTATTTCTGACGTGGTGGTTGACCACAAATGAGTACTAGCTGATTCCTTAAAATTTTAATTTGAGAATGTTTGTTTGTTTGTCTGTTTGTTTAACTCTGCCAGTCAACTTCTTAGATCGCCATATGGTTCAAAATTGTAAGAAGATTGGGCTATCCTGGCCCGAAGTAAAACGCGTAGGTCAAGACTGATCGCGATGTCGAAATACTGTTGAAGGCCTCTATCCAACGGGGGGGCTATATGACTAAACAAAGAACAACATGTTTGTTTCCACTTATGTATCTAAAATAGTAATTAGATATACGCAGTACTTTCTATTGTTAATGTTGAACCGCAAGTTCTTTTGCACAATAATAGTAGGTACCTGTGTACAATAAGAAAAGAATAATTCAAACCGAGCACTAAGCTACGTTTTTTTTATAATTTTTTATTGCTTAGATGGTTGGACGAGCTCACAGCCCTGGTGTTAAGTGGTTACTGGAGCCCATAGACATCTACAACGTAAATGCGCCACCCACCTTGAGATATAAGTTCTAAGGTCTCACGTATAGCTACAACGGCTGCCCCACCCTTCAAACCGAAACGCATTACTGCTTCACGGCAGAAATAGGCAGGGTGGTGGTACCCACTCGCGCGGACTCACAAGCGGTCCTACCACCGGTAATTACGCAAATTATAATTTTGCGGGTTTCATTTTTATTACACGATGTTATTCCTTCACCGTGGAGGTCAGTCGTGAACATTTGTTGAGTACGTATTTCATTAGAAAAATTCGAACACCGGTGCATCGCTTAACACGAATGCACCGGACGTCTTATCCGTTAGGCCACGACGACTTCAACTACGTCCTCCTTTCTTAAAATGAGATTTGAAGAGGACACCGAGGGATAGGAAGTATCTTGTCTATGCCTTACTTAAGTGCGGAGGCGACAGCAATGATGTACGATCCGCTTATTCGTAGGCTCTTAGGTCTTCTCAGCAACGAAGAAATCGACGCACATAAATACGAAGTCTTAGGTGACCTCCACTAAGATCTTATTAAACATACGTAATAATAATCATTGAGCCTTCCGAAACTACACAAGACTCCAGTTTTCTAAAAGTACACACTATACTTCCTACAAGAAATGTTTCCACCACGGTATAAGGTTGGCAGCCAGTCAACGATTAGGTATCTATTTAGACAGTTGTACTTATTAGTAGATAATACTATTATACGAATGGAAAACCGCGGCATGCAAATATACTAAGCTGTTAAGGTTTACTTATGTTTTAATGAAAATTATTAAATTAAGTTTAACTATGGACCCAAATTTTTTATTTGTCCAAAGTCGGCGTTGCTATGACGTCAAGAAGTTTATTAACGGTAGGAAGGTTTCTGTGGGTTCACAATAAACAGTGATTATGCAGCTAATTTTGTTTCTTATAACACGTAGGTATAAGGTTAAATCAAGTTCGTATTTATTTAGAAAAGTTTGTGCCTTAGTCCTTAGTGTTCGAACCCCAACATAAATCACTAGGATTTGGTATATCAAAAATATTACATTTTTTTCTTTACTTCTTCATACCAAGTAGACAGATACAGACAGCTGTTGCCTTTACTTACTAATTCCTGCAAACTGTGGTAGTGTAGTGATACTGCGATTGGGGTGATGTGATTTGGGCTCCTAATTAATTAATCCCAGCTGAGCCGAGGGTCGTTGACCCATACAAGCAATAAAAAAATAAACTAACTTCTATCACTATGATTTTGCTTGTACAGCCACCTCTTTTTTTGGTTATATTATTGCTTAAACAGGTTAACGAGCTCACGGGACACCTAGTGCTAAGTGGTTAAAGAACTTAAAACAAAGTTCTAAGTCTCAGTTCCATAATACAATGGCTGCCCTACCCTTCAAAACGGAACGCACTACTGCTTCGCGATAGAAATAGAAAAGTGGAATTTCCTATCTCACACGACTCAGAAGACTCACTATCACTAGTAAATGAGGTAATGTTCTCAAGGGGTCGTCTTGAAGTCGTCGTGGCCTGAAGGATAAGACCTCCGGTGCATTCGTATCTAGCGATGCAACGGAGTTCGAATCCCGCAGGCGGGTACCAATTTTTGTAATGAAATACGTACTTAACAAATGTTCACGATCGACTTCCACGGTGAAGGAATAACATCGAGTAATAAAAATCAAACCTGCCAAATTGTAATTTGCGTAATTACTGGTGGTAGGACCTCTTGTGAGTCCGCGCGGGTAGGTGCCACCACCCTGCCTATTTCTGCCGTGAAGTATTAATGCGTTTCGGTTTGAAGGGTGGGGCAGCCGTTGAGACCTTAGAACTTATATCTTAAGGTGGGTGGCGCATTTACGTCGTAGATATCTATGGGCTCCAGTAACCACTTAACACCAGGTTGGCTGTGAGCTCGTCTACCCACCTAAGCAATAAAAAAAAAATAAAAAAAAGTATTCGGCAATTATTTTTTTAACTAGATAAATATCAGGTATACGATTTGGATACTGCAAATACTAGTAACAGAAGCCAATAATTCCGCATGGAAACTTCGGTTTAGTTTAGGTTGGTAACAGATGAAAGCGGGGCAGGCGGAATTTACGAAGTAAGTGATAATCGGTCAGTCTAGTGTGGATTTCATATTTATGTGTCGGAATTGGAAGATAATTCTAAATAGATATCCTTACTGGTAGCAAGACGTCTTGTGAGTCCGCACGGGTAGGTACCACTACCTTGCCTATTTCTGCCGTGAAACAGTAATGCGTTTCGGCTTGAAGGGTGGGCCAGCCATTGTAACTATACTGAGACCTTAGAACTTACATCTCAAGCTGGGTGGCGCATTTACGTTCTAGATGTCTATGGCCTCATGTTAATGTTTTTGGGTAAATTTTGGCCCCAAATGACGTCACAATTATACAAGTAAAGAAGAAAATAAAATATTAATAGCACCAAAAATAATGTTATAAGAAAATTTATTTGGATCTGCCATTAAATTAAATTCATAACTTGGTACTATTCAAACTATAAATAATTGTTTTAAATGTCATTCTAGTCCAACAAAAATTTGAATTTCAAAATTAGATGATAGAGGATCATAAAGAAACTAGAACTTGGAGCACTTTAGCATCTATTCAATTCATCAAAGGGGGATACAAAGAAAATATCTTCTAACTTCATAAAACTTAAAATTCTTGTCTTTAATATTTACAAGTTACAGCATAAAAAAATTTTTTACTTTATTTTATGAGAATATAATGAGGATTAAATGAGGATAAAATTTATTTTATGATAATAATAATCAGATATTAATGAAACAAGTATATTTAAATAGTAATATTGTGTAGACTAGTACAAAAATAGCCAAGCTTTGAATGAGCAATTTTGTGACATTTTTGAAATAGTAAATTAATTTATAACTATATTACATAACAGATAATATAATAATATCCTGTAACACTATGAAATAGTTGAAATGCACTATGTGCATGATACAGTTTGGTAACAAATTGTTACCAATAAGCAAAAACTATATTTGATTTGTGAATTGCTTTGGTGCAACATTATCACCATTTTTATATCTAATCTTGATTGTTAACTGCTTCCCTTGGTGAATTCTTTGCAAATGACTCCTCATGTCATATGAACGAGAGAAGGATCGGTGACAAACTGGACACTGTGTTTTACCAGCATGTGCATCCTTGTGAAGTGTCAATGATGTAGGATGTTTGAAACCTTTCGGACACAACTGGCATCGAAATTTTGCAAGATCAGACTCTGGAAAAGTATATTTTTTATCTTAGTATTTACCATCACATTACAAATATATTTATGAACAAAAATACCTCTATAAACAATTATTTCATAATATTTCGTACCTTTGACACTTACTACCACTGATGCAAATTGTAAAAATATCATGTTAGATTAAAAGTCATATCTGATAATCAGAAAAAATCATTCTCTCTATTTAAAAATTTCACATACCATAATTTATTCATACCAGTTAAATTGTTCTTGATAAAGTATACTTCTATGTACAATAAGTAAAATGTAAATAGTGAAAGCAGTTCATAGGTGAAACATTACCAGGATTATTTTTATCTGATAAATCTTCAGGAGCAGCTGTGCTTGTCTGGGGATCCACTTGCATTTCTTCACTGGGTGGCAAAACAGATTTAACTTTAGTATTTATACTGTCATCAGGTCTAGAGATATCTTGTGATGCTTCATCATTACCATTTTCTTGTTCAGATACATTGTTTACTGGACATACTTGTGGAATGTTCTCATCTCTATTACTTTGAACAGGTGCTAAATTAATTGGCTCATCTGATTGCACAGGTGCAATATCCTCATATTTACTTGATTTAGAGCTTAGGTCTAATGAAGTATTCTCACTTAATCTTATTTGCGACTTAGCCGAATCTTCTTCTATATTATCGGTCAGACCTTTCACTTCTAAAAGTTCAGCTGTAATAAGAAATGATTCCAATTGTTCTTGAAATATGTTCACTTCACCATGATACATGAAGTTGATAATCGCATTTAGGTCCTCGTATTTAAAGTTTCTGAATATAATAACAGGGTGCTGGCAAGGATTTTCTTTGAATATTTGCCTAAAATAATTGCTACAGGCTGATAACAACATTCTGTGAGCTTTAATTTTACCACCATCGCAACATAATGTCACGTCCACCAAATCATTCTCAAATCGCAGAGCGTTAAAAGCTTCAGTTACGTGTGACACATAATTGTTCCACCGCAAAGAAAACTGCGGTGCATTATTCATTTTATATTTAGGTAGATATTATTCCCCAAGTGGGTACGGGATATGGAAATAAATATTTCCAAAATTGTTCTGTACCTTTTCAAAGGATGAATGACAATTGACATTAGATTTCTAAAACCAGCTGTCAAATTAAAAAAAAATTGTTTCTTCATTAACATTAAAGGGTTCAAGTCATAGAATTGCAAAGAAAAAACAAGCAATGAAGTCTACAAAAATTATGTGTCAAATCTCTATTAAATTGTAATAGAATAGATGTGTCAAAGGAATTAATTAATATTACTATCTAAAAATAATTTAGAAACCTTCATTTCATTTATTATATTGTAAATTCACAGGATCGATTAAAAATCCGATATTGTTGGTTAAGAATCGATATTTCAATGACTCATCTTAGATTTCTATCCTTACTTTAAAGTTAAGCTATGATTAAATAATTCTCTCAAAATTGTTCTAAAAAGTTCACGTAGTTTCGTAGAGAATAATCACAATTTTACTGAGTATTTATTTCATAACATCTCATCTCGTTTCGTTTCGTGTAATATTATGCCAATTTATATCAGTCGTAAATAAAACAGCCTCACCTCATTTAATATAAATCATTTTTTGCTACATATTATTTCCATAAAATAAAATTTAATTAAAGATTTGGGTATATGCATAGACCATTGGGTATATGGTATAATCCCTTTGCCTTTCCAGTTGTAAAATGTTTTTTTAAGGGATTTTATGACCTGGTAACCAAAACTTTTAGGTCATATCTTATTTTAAGTAATATTCTTATTTTTTGGAAAAATTATAATCTGGGGTGAATTAAATGAAATTAAATGAAATGATATGGGATGAAATATAATGTCAGTAAAATTATGGACATTTACTGAAACTTTTCAGTGAACTTTTGGGAGGATCCCAAGAAGTTACGCCCACGAAGTTACGTACGCGGCTTTGTTTCATTTTCCCACATTTGTGCACTTTCACAGATATTAAACAGTTAATAAACCACCATTATTACACATTTAAACCCGAAGAAATACTAAATAGAAAAAATAAAACAAATCACACAACTTTACTCCTCGCGTTCCTCCTCGTGTTAAGTGGTTACTGGAGTCCATAAACATCTACAACGGAAATGCGTCACCCACCTTGAAATATAAGTTCTTGTTAGTGGGTACATCCCTATTAAGAAGTGTGCGCTGTAGCACGACACTAGTATAAAAAAGGATATAGAAGAGTAGCGTCATAACACTATGGTCTCTAAGAAAATTGTAAAAACAGTAAAACCAGTAATGTCCAGTTAAATAAATAATATATATTAATAAAAGGTTTGTTTTCTCTCGTCTGAGCATCTCCACACCCTTCAGGTTATGGGCCCAGGACCCGAGACTGCTCAGACAGAACCAGAGACTCCAGAACCAGGACCCGAGACTGCCCAGACAGAATCAGAGACTGTACAGAACCAGAACCAGACTGCCCAGAGTGAGAAAAGTGTAAAAGTGTAAAAGAAAATAAAACAAAATGAATAACCAAGAAGAAAATATTGAAAAACTTACGAACTCTGAAAATTTCCACATCTGGAAATTTGAGATAAATATACATGTTTCGGCATCGAATCTGTCGGAAGTGTTGAAAGAAACAAAACCAGAACAGAGAGAAAAACCAGAATTCCAAACTAAGGATGCTAAGGTAAAGAAGTTGATTTTAAACTCCATAGATAGAAAATTAAAAGGTCACATCATAAATTGCCAAAATGCACATGAAATGTACAATAAGCTATGTGCAATATTTGAAGGATCTGAAGAAAGAAACAAGTCTTCCTTATTACAAGATTTCTTTAACTTCAAATTTGAAAACCAGACAATGTCACAGTTGATCACCGATATAGAAAACTTGAGGATGAGATTAAATAATCTTAAACAAAATATTGATGATGACATGGTAATTTCAAAAATATTAACCTGCTTACCAAATCAATATAAATTCTTCATCACAGCATGGGAATCAACACCTGATGACAAAAAGACACTTACCAACTTAACTAACAGACTTTTATCAGAAGAAAACAGATTTATAGAAAGGAAAATTGAGTACAAACAGGTTGCTTTTAAGACGGAGAATAAAAACATAAAATGCTTTAAATGTAACAAAATAGGCCATCTAAAAAAG